GTAGAAGACCAGCTACACATGATAATCAGACATAAGCACAACAAAAAAGTAGTCCTTAAACACGATCATGTGATTTAGCAAGACAAAACACCATTTCAATCTTTATGTAAACTAAGTGAAATGCATAGCAAAAAAAAGCATTACATCCCAGCTAAGATGTACTAGAAATGCTGTTGGTGTAATTAAAATTTTTCCAACACGAACAATTGATATATAATGGAAGTAAAAATGAAAATAATCAGATGTAGACTGTTTTTGTTAGAATTATAAAAAGACTTCGATATTTTAAGCTTTATTATAATTGTTCATAAAACAAAACGGCGTACTAAATACAAAATTAACAGCGGCAGAATATGCACAGAATAAAATTCATTATGGTCGCGACTGTACTAGTTCTCTAATATTTCTTTCTGATTCGGCTAAATTCTTCTCCAAATATTTCCTTTGATGATCGATTGCAGCTATTTTTTCTTCTGCTTTTATAATCTATAAATAAAGTCCTTAAAACGATTGGACAATATCCAAAATAAAGTTTATATTAGGATATTTTAAAATTTGGAAAACAATGTTTGACTATTCCGAATTGATTCCCCTATTCAAAACTCTAACGGCTGCTCTGAATATACTTCCATATAACATCGAGAGCTAAAATATGACGATACAATAATAAACAAAAAAAGTTGATTAGTTGAATTAATATTATATAATTCTCTACAAAACTTCTGTCAATTTCCAAGATGATGAAACAGCAGTTCATCAGCGGTAATTTCTAAATTCATTATTAATAAGAGTGCAACGAAGGACTTTTTCCCAATCAAATGGAATAAAACTAAGATATCTTTAACTTCCAACCAGTCTCACCTCTTCTTCATGTCGCGCAATCTCCGATTCCACAGTTCCTTTGGCAAATATTCGGCCAATGCTCATATACACGGGAGTGTCTTTGTCCAATTCCAAAAGTTGTGTTTTGGTTAATTCCGCTATTCGTCGTTTCTAGAAACAACAAAGTTAACACTGCCTTTTATTTGTAGGCGCCTAGCTTATTGCGATATCAAGAAATATAACACAGACTTGGCAAATGACATTAACTATAGTTTTCGCTAAATCATTGCATATTAAGCAATATAAATCAAACCTGTCACTAGATTAAATCTCAATTTTGATATCTGAAAATTTTGTATGGAAGGTAATGGTAAAATACCTGCTCTTGTTGCTTTTTTATTGAATCACCGAGTTGTAAACGACGATTTGTGTCAACCACTTTGGTTTGCAACTCTCTAAATGCCTAGAATTGAAATTAAGAAAATTATTACATTATTTTAAAAAAAGCAGGATTCTGATTTTTCAAGAATAAATAGCACAACAGTTGTATTGTTTGCCTTACTCTTGTAGAAAAACAATCTTTTCTCGTCTAATGAAAGTTACATATATCTCACTTAAATATAAAGTGAGAATAATTAACAAAATTAATATTTATTGAATATCAACTGTCACCTAGGTAAGTATGAACATACCTTCTTCAATTGTATCGAGTAATCGTCTGTCATAATTGAAGGCTACTTGAAGAAATCCTCTGCTAAAACTTAAACAACAATAAATTTAGGACAAGACAAACATCATCAAAACAACACCATAGCTTTCGCTTTATATATCTCAGCTGTAGTGATCAAATTCGGAAAAATATTTGCAACCAACTCTGCATTCAATTCACCTAAGTGAAATATCATCTTCCGAAATTTTAGGACAAAAAAAAACAATTTTATTATCGCCAAGTGAAATAACGTTCGCATATTCAATCCACTTGCTCTCAAAAATTTCACGAGAAATTACAATTTATTCAGAATGAAATCTCATGTTGTTACTCCTTCCGTGTTGAAACCCTATAAACAGTTAATCATTTAAATATAAACATCATATAAACTCTGTTAACAAAACTGGAATCATAATCAACAAAGTTTACAGAGATTCATTAGGAACTGACAGTTTGATGTTGAAGCAATCACACATATTAGATTTGAAAAATTAATCAGGACAAAAATAATTTATTTAATCGCGGAAAGTTAACAAATAAGAACGAAAGCAACATTATTCATGTAAATGAATTATAAGATTTCAATGAAATTGACCTATATAAGTTTTAACATGTCTGAACCAGTGCATGACAGTCTTGAACGAATCATGAATATCAAAGACAATATTTGTATAATTTGCGAAGAAAAATATCTTCATAATTCGGATGAGCAAATAGTAATATACTACTGTTTTTGCGTGGTAGTTTGAAGCATAAGTTTGCCATTCCAACAGTTTTTGACCAATAAAGTTGTTGTTCTTATAATAAGATCACAAGAATGAGCGTTGAAATTATTCAAGAATTATAAGATATATCTAAAATTAAAGTATATAACAAAATATATAAACAAATCAAGTATATTTTGCAACAAAAGCAGATAAATCATTAAAAAGAACTGGATCGATCATCTTGATATTTTTAGCCACTAACTGATATGCCAACAATCTGCTGATAAAATCGATCGTTTCACAATCCTTATCACAAATTGAATCCTGAAACCAGAAATATGTATACTAGTACAAGTTATTTTACGCTAAAAATATAATATAGCAATAAACAGAATCTAAGATTTCTTAGTCTTGAAATCCCCTTCCTTAAGTCCACATAACCTAAAAGAGGAATACATACCAATGAATACATACGAAAGAGGAATAGAACACATAGGAAAGAGAAAAAGAGGAATACATATGAATGACTACTTCAACCAATATCGATTATAAACTGATTTGAATCAAAGTCATAAACGAGAAACTTTCCCAAAAAAAACAAAGTATATCCAGTTCGAATTAAAAAACATACGGATGACAAACAAGCTAACGTTTTTCTTTACTGCATCTATAAGAGCCGCTGGTGTATCGCTACCAGTAGTATCATTGCTGTTGTCCGTGGTAGAAATATTGAGCACAGTAAGTTTCTCTGCTACCTGTATATCTTGCAATCCCTCATCAACTATACGTGCATAACATGCAGGAACAGGCTGTTCAGGAAAATATAAGAGTCGTGGAGCAACGTAAACCTGAAAAAAATAGCAAATACATTAATAAAATGAATCATCTCTTTTGCAAACCATTACAAGCATTAGAACTGTTAAGACGTTCAGTACAAGGTAAAGCACATGTTTTTCGAAAAAAAAGAAGTTAATCACTAAACTAATTCTCTGTCGATCAAGTTATTACTCATTGGTTAAGTTATTGGTGCCAACGATTTCTCGGCTTGCTAAGAAATTCTAGGAACATGTTTAACTATGCTTCAACATTATCCAATCATTATTATTTTTGTACAAAAGTATTAATTTAAATTTGCAGAAATCTTACAAGTCGATACTAAATATGGAATAGATTACCTGAATAGCAGAAGCTTTTTTCAAGTCTTTTTCTTGAACAGTATGAGCAAAATCAAATGAATGAATATATGCAAAGCCTTTATCTTTCTCGTACCTATCAAACAACTGTACAATGCAAACGTTCTTTTCCTTGAAAGCATAAAATCGACCCTGAATATAGAAAAAAAATGAATGCAACATCAAAAGAAAAACATTACTTCAGCTTCTCTCTTTCATCACGAGCACTAAAAATCGAGGGTATGCAATCTTATCAAATTATCAAACGTTACAACATTTTAGGCAGTCTCTAAGGATGTTCAAAGATAAATTTCAATGCTAAGATGTGCCATAACTCTTGAAATCTGTCGAAAATTCTAGCACAATGCACAATTATTACATTTTCATTTTTATCTAAACTGCGTTTTAAATCATAATGCACATAACCATTTCGTATTACTGAATCTGATACTTTTATAAAAATCATTATATACTTTTTTCTTTCATTACTGTGAAACTGCACACTTCTCTTGAGACTCTACACTATATAAAAGTTTACAAAGTAAGGAAGATAAGAAAGGTAGATTTTGATGAATAGTATTAGCTGACTCAAAACTTTGGTACTATTTTTTCTTACGAAAATCATCGGAAGTTTCAATCTATCTTACTAGACATCGTCTAATGCATTGGCTAAGCTTTGGATCATCGTAATCTTCATGTCCAGCACTTCGAGCTTCCCAGAACGAATTGAAGTTAGCTTCGCACGGTGTAACTGATATAACACCACAATGTATCCAAGTAAGTGGACTTGCCTTCAACTTTCTGCAAACTAAAAAACAGTCTATTAATGTATTAAAGAAGCAAATGAACTTTGTGTTTCCACAAAACATACTTATAAAAAATATTAACTGCTGTCAAATTATTCCGACTTAGAATTGAGGCTCAAAACCAACAACATTGGAGTTTATCACCTAACAAAGCGCGGAAGTATTGTAATAGATTTCTTGCAATTTATGTTTTCTGTCACTAACCAATAATTAATAAACGCTATATGAAATGATTGGAAATCTGAAAAGTGAAGAGAATAAGCGTATAAAATCTATAGCAGAGAGATAACCCACGTGTTTCGTTCAAATATATGCGACCCAAATGTGGACTCAGTCCAACGCTGCTTCCGAACGTGATATTCCCCAAGAATACTGGTGTTTGAATCCGTAAATTCACCGCACCTGTTTTGGAAACTGAAGTGCCCGTAGGCAATAATTCATCGATAAGCTTCGGTTTCCCAGAATCAACAAAACTACAGCAGGTACGTTCAAATGTCTGAATACATGCAAACGGATTACAAAGTATCCTCCAACAAATAATCACAACATCTACATTGTATAAATGCTTACATCTTATTGACAATCATTATTGCTCAACGATACATTCATTTCAGCTCACAAACATAAGCAATACTTCTCACTAATCAATGTCACATTCCACTTACCAAAACAGGTCCTGTGTTTGGCTCAATTTCAACTGAAAGCCAATTACTTAATTGCACTAAATCTTTGTCGAAATTACGCGAAATAAGTACACGTCCATAACCACTCGCATGAATAATACCATAATTCATCTCCGGATCTACACGAACAACAACACCCAGAGCTATCGGTTTTAATGTTCGTTCATCCATCTCTCGGAAAAGCAAATCAACTTAACTTCTCTCTTAAAATCGCGTCATTTCATCATGACGTAACAACAAACCGAAACAAATTTAGAATATTCATACTGGACTTTCCTCAAAGATAAAAGACTGAAGAAATTTAAGGACAATAGATCACGCTCCATGTCCCCGCACTACTAGACCAATCTGGAATACTCTATCCTTCATTTCATTCAGAAATATCTCCTTTCTATGAATTTCCACTGCTCCTTAAACAGTAACGAAATGTACAATCTGCACCGTCATTCGAAACACTTGCAGCTCAGAAATGCCTTCATTGCACTCCCTTCCCACTTCTGTATCACTTCAGACGCTATCTGCATACATGCAAATATACGATATATTACATGAAATATACGCTTATGAAACAAAGTAAATACAGTGTTTATTTCATTTCATTTCATTGTGACAGTAGAAACCTATCTCAATTGAATGCATAGTAACATAAAAATAACAATCATTCAACAGAGCACAAGAACACAAAAAACTGACAAATAAACAATGATGAAAAGGATGGATGGACGAAGATAAACTTGCTCGTCTTCCAGAAAATGTGTTGAAATCTCGTCAATATGAGTGAAATTTATCGAACCTTATTTGATCATACGCAAAAAAAAGAGAATAGTTAGAAAATAAAACGCTTTAAAGAAGACAACTGCACTATTCCAAAGAATATGCTGCTTGTTTTGTTGCTTCGTTGCATAATTTAAATACAACAAACAACTAGAGAACACTTTCTCAAATAAACAATAATGGAAGTGTGAACATGAACATCCTGAATTAAGCTGAAGCTGATTCCAAATCAAAGATACGTTTCAGCCTCTCCTTCCTTCACCTCCAATATCAATTACTTCTTTGCTTGTCGTCGCTTACGCTTCAGCCGACGCATACGCTTTTTACGCCACTGGAAAAAGATAGATTTAAGAATGTTGAATTTTGAGAAAAAAACTAAAATTTCTTGTAAGTCATCCTACAAACTATCACTGTTTCAGATTCTAAAACAATCAAGCTTTACATCTCTTTCAGATGTATTTTATACGCTTATATTCGCGTATGAAAACTTAAAAAAGTTACTGATGCAAAAGATTAGAAATGCT